CCATTTCGTTGTTTTATATATACACGTGATTAACTCGAGTAGTTTGTGATCCGCAGACGGTAAACATCAAGGTGAAGATGGACTGCGAGGGCTGCGAGAGGAGGGTCAAGAACGCCGTCAAGTCGATTCGGGGTACACACATACATACTCCTACATACGTAGCGATATCCAGAAATGAAACAACATCAAGCAATCTAAAGTTTTCGTTGCGAATAGTTTTGTGAAGTTAAATTCTGCTGATGAACGTTTCATATTCTGTACATGTTGATGCCAAAGGTGTGACGGCCGTGTCAGTGAACCCCAAGATGAGCAAGGTGACGGTGACGGGGTTCGTGGAGCCGAGCAAGGTGCTGGCGCGGGTGAAGAGCACCGGGAAGGTGGCCGAGATGTGGCCCTACGTGCCGTACTCGCTCACCACCTATCCCTACGTCGGCGGCGCCTACGACAAGAAGGCGCCGGCGGGCTTCGTCCGCGGCGCGCCGCAGGCCATGGCCGACCCCGGGGCGCCGGAGGTCCGGTACATGAACATGTTCAACGACGAGGACGTCAACTCCTGCGCCATCATGTGATGATACCGACCCATCTTGACGATCTCCACCCTAGCCAGCCGGCCAGTCACCTAGAGACCACACGGCCTAAGATACCATCGCAGTCATAGTAATAGTAAATCTACGCGTGTACGATTTTGTGTGGCTTGTTTTTCTTTTGGTAATGGGTAAAGTAATATTATGATTTTTTTCTTATGAAGTACTTCCTTTGTTCCTAAATATAAGTCTGTGGAGAGATTCCACTATGAACCACATATGGATGTATGTAGATGCATTTTAAAGTGTAGATTCACTCATTTTGCTCCGTATGTAGTCCATAGTGAAATCTCTACAAAGGCTTATATTTAGGAACGGAGGGAGTAATATAAACTTGTTGCCAATTTCATGGTGAAAGGTAAACTATTACTATGAGAGGTTTTCCGGATGAAGTAATATGAGCTCGTTGCTAATACTGTAGAGCATCTCTTAGCATGTCGATATTTTAGGGCATCTCAAAAGCTAATCACCAAATGAACATCATCAAATGTCCACAGACATGTCCTGGCATGTCTACGAACTGGAAACTTGAAATTAGGTGCCAACGCACCAGACGCGACAATCTCATCACTCACATGCACCACTAGCCTGATGTTCACGGGAGAGTGAAAGGCAGTAGTAGCCAAACCTCAATGATTCATCGAAGCATCTCTAGCAGACCACTTATATCGCCCCGACACATAAAATAATCGTCAGTTACAGTTTGGCATGAAAAAATGACCCGAACAGACACCATAAACGCGCACGACCCTTAAATTTTTTTGAGGGGCACGGTAAATTGCCCTCTCCGACCCGCGAAAACCCAGCCCCTCCTGCCCCGTCGGTGCCTTGTATCCTGCGAAAGCGGTTGGCGGGAGGGACATTTCAGCATGTGCGTTCCCCACATCCTCTCCCGCAGCCGCCCGCCACCGTCGCCGCCCGCCCGCCGCTTGCGATTCTGGCCATTTCCACCGACGGAATCACGCCGCCGGGCCGCACTACACCCTGGTCCACTCGCCGGCGCCCCGGATCCGCCGATCCAAGCCGCCCCCGGGTCGCCACCACCCCGGATCGACCGCCATCGAGTCGTTGCCCGCCCCGGATTCGCCGAGCCGCCCCCGGGTTGCCGCCGCCCCGGACCGACCGAAGCCGGTGAGCCCCTTTTTTGTCCCTTGTAGATCGGCCACCGGTGATGAAATTTCGTTGACGCAAACTCGGTCGCGGTTTTGTAGATGGATTTGAGCCCTTGCGAGCAATTTTTGCTCGAGGATTCGTCCTCGTCCGATGACTCGGGCATAGAGTCGATGCTCGAGCGCCATCGGCAACAGATGGTGGGGCCGGTCCTAGCCATGAAGGAGGCCGAGGATCGGAACCGCAAGAGACGGCGAGGATCGACCGTCGGTCGTCTTTGCATCCCTCGTGACCACCACCTCGGAAACACGATGTTGATGCAAGACTACTTCGCGTACAATCCTACCTATCCGCCGCACCTCTTCCGGAGAAGGTATCTAATGCGCCGATCCCTCTTCGTAAAAATAGTGCAAGCTTGCGAGGCCAATTCTCGGTCTTTTACTCAAAGGAGAAACGCCGCGGGCTTGTTGGGTTTTAGCGCATATCAAAAAATCTCGGTAGCTATGCGAGTGATTGCATATGGCATTCCGGCTGATTATGCTGACGAGTATCTTCGCATTGGCAAAGATACTACAATTGAGTCAGTGCGTAGGTTCGCCAAAATGATCACCCGCGTCTCTGGTCCTGTCTATCTTCGTGCACTCAACGAGGAAGACACCAAAAGTTGATGGCAGCAAATGAGAAGCGAGGTTGGCCCAATATGCTTGGAAGCGTTGATTGCATGCATTTGACTTGGAAAAACTGCTCGAAGGCATGGCACGGGCAATATTGTGGCAAGTCTCGTGATGCAACAATTGTGCTAGAGGCCGTAGCATCCGAGGATTTATGGATTTAACATTTTTTTTGGTATATGCCGGGTACTCTCAATTATATCAATGTGTTGCAACGGTCTCATTTGTTTGCTAGACTTGCCAGTGGTGATGCTCCTGCTTGCAACTTCATGGTGAATGGACATGAACACACAAAGAGGTACTATCTTGTAGATGGTATCTATCCTTCTTGGTGTACATTTATCAAGAGCATAAAAATTCCAAAACTAGGAAGCATATTGAATTTGCAAAGGTACAAGAGGCTGCCCGAAAAGAGATTGAAAGAGCCTTTGGGGTTTTGCAATCTAGATTTGCCATTGTTCGTGGTCCTGCTCGTTTTTGGGACAAGCAAACCCCTAACAACATCATGACATGTTGTGTGATTCTTCACAACATGATCATCGAAGATGAGAGGGACATGAACTTGGAGTTCTTCTATGACAATGTTGGTAGCCGCGTGAAGCTAGCTAGAGACCCTGACCGCATACAAGCATTCCTTTAGACATACCGGCAGATTGAAGACGCAAACACCCACCATCAGCTTCAGGAGGATCTCATTGAGCACCATTGGCAAAGGCATTGAGCACCATTGGCAAAAGCACCGGCCAATTTTACATTCATTTCATTTGATTAATGTGTGATCGTTATCATTGTTGTATTCAGGATAACTGTTGTATTGAATTATTAGTTTAATTCGGTGATTTGAATAATTATTGTAATTTGGATGCATAATATTCACATTTTATGTTATACTGAATTCATAATTCTTTGTAATATATGAGATATGTGTCAAATTCAGAAAAAAAACGTGTTTTGGGACTGGCGCGGGCAGCGGCCGAACAGCCCCGCATAGCGGAACTGTAAAAGAGAATAATCGGAACTGTAAAAGAGAATATTATTCTCTTTTACAGTTCCGCTATGCAGGGCCTATTCAGCCGCAGCCTGCGCCAGCATGCAAAACACGTTTTCCGTGAACTGTAAAGGGTCCGCGATATAAGGGGTCCGCTAGAGATGCTCTAGTGGTGGTCGAGAGGGCGTCGTGGCCACCGCTAAGGCCACAAGTGAGCCCACCTCCGGAAGCACCAGATACAAAGTGGGCTCCCCACATAGCCCATGCAACTTGGACATGATCTGCAACACACAAGCCATGATTTACAATGATGGCATAGTGGATACATATGCCTCATGACAAAAAAGTAGCTTCAGGCATCTATATTGATTTTTTCTCTCCAACTCAAGGTACTACTAGTGGACCTCATTATATAATAAGAAGTAGACCCTTACTACATATGCATCCCTACTCTTCACTTCAACATTTTCAGCTTTTTACACCGGACCACACATTTTCTTTCCAAGCAACCACTTCTTGCAGAGGATCCTGCTTCCTATCCGAACCTACTTTTTCTGACATCCGATACTACATGGCACACAGGGCATCACCATGAGGCTATGCATTGTACATGCCCTAAGAGCAGAGTAGCTCGACCTGCTCCATGTGGACGGGCTGCAAAGACATGTCAAACGGGGTTGTATCGTCAGCGGGTGCAGGCGGTGGGGGAGACGGTGGAGCAGAGCAGGCGTCGTAGTCCGTATATGTCATCTGATCTAGAGGAGGTTTCAGAATTCGGCAAGAACGACTATAAATTTTCTAGTCCAAACACGAATGACATAACATGTTTTGGGTAAAAGAGTGCCTTGTAGATAATCTTAGTCAGAGTCATGCCTTGCATATGTTTTTTTTGGCAACATGAATCTACACGTACGTATTTGATTGTACACAGCAAAACATGCTCCTAGTAAATTTTAGTTGCGCGTTACAATTTCATTTTCATATGTTACTTCCGTCCCGAATTACTTAGCTTACATCTGTCTAGATATGATTAATTTTGGACAGCGGGGGTACTTTTTTCCCGGTACGACAAACCAAAGGTAACAACTTAGTTCGAAATTCCCATACATTTCCAGTGCACCTCCACGCCTTGCGATATATTCTCTCCGTTCACTGTTATAAGATGTATGATTAATTATTATTATTTGAATTGAATGTAGGTAGACGTGTTTTAGAGTGTTTGTTCACTTATTTCAGTCTATATTTAATGTATATCGAAATATTCAAAACTTCTTATAATAGTGAAATGGGGGAGTAACTGATTACACTTGCGAAGACCTTTTTGATTAGATTTCCAACCTTGAAAGGTGATTGACGCATGCACTCTTAGCTACTACTCCTAGATAGTAGTACAAGAACACGAACTGTCTCTTGAGTTGAGGTCAGGTCACTCGAACGATTCCGGCAGCGGCCGGCTGGCGAGGAACGCCCTGAAGAGCACGAGGGACCTCTCCGGCTGCGAGAAGGGCGCCTCGTGCGACGCGCCCCGGATGGTCGCGAAGGACAGCGCGTCGCCGAACACCTGCGTCCATCCACCAACCTGCACGTCCGGGAGAAGATGAGACGAGAAGAACGCTTCAGTTTCAGTTTCACCACCCACCATGGCTTGAGCTTGACAGGAGTGGAGCTGAGCTGACGATAACGACGGCCAGTATTGTACTGTAGGATGGAGATGGACCGGAGCTCACCTGCTTCCCTTGGAACCAGACCCGGTACGGCACCGTTGCGTTCAGCCGGAGCCTCTTGGCCAGGCGGTGCACCAGCGTCCTGCTGCCCGTCAGGGGGATCACCGAGTCCTGATCACCGCTGCGGAGAAACACCCACGAGCACAGCCATCAGGCCACGTTCTAAACTGACATGCTTGCTGTGGCGAGTTCTTTACCTGTAAACTAGCACTGGGATGCCAGACTTGACGAGCGCGCCGACGATGTTAATGGTCGGGATCTGTAGGTCCAGCTGTTTGTACTCAAGAACACTGGATTGGGCAAAACACTCGGTGAAATCGCAACCTTGCTGAAGGAAATGCAACTATAATACTCCTAGTAGATACAGATAGATGCTCTAACAGATGGGCAAATCCACACCTGCTGCAGACCGTCCACTTGGGTACGCCGTTGAGCTGAGCGTGCATTGCCTTTTGCACATCTTTTCGGTTGAGGTAGTTCATCGTCTCGTCCTCGACGCACACGTCGAGCGCCCTGTTCAATTGCTCGGTAGACTGCAAAAAATTGTCCGTCAGTGACAGGGTTACATACATCTCCTTAGCAGAGATAATGCTGAAGAACGATACATTTGGGCTTGGGGTGAGCACTTGGGACTGCATCAACACCGAAGAAATGCAGACGTCCAGGGTGACATCGTACTTGTCCACGAATCTGCTCGTCTCTCTCGTCACTTGGCTCATCACCCTGTCGCACACCGTGCTGATGGAGCCTTGGTAATACTCGCTCACATACCGCGAATAGTTGCAAACCGTCGTGAAGATGTTGTAAGTTGAGTCCGATATCAGCCCGTGTGACCAGAAGAACTCGGCTCTTGAGTTGAAGTCAGTTGAGAATTCGAGGACAGGATTGCCCAACTGTTGGATCAATGAGGGAAAGAGAGAGCAATGTACACTATAAATTCACCAAGTTTTTGTAAACATATTTTTGGTAAGCTTTGTAAATGGGATACTTACAGCAATGCCTTTCAGATTGAACAGCTTCTCCTTGTCGTCGAATTCAACCATGCGCTGCGCTAGTTGCGGAACATAGTGGCCTTAAAAATGATCATCATTGTAGTTAGAACACCAAGGGATGAATTCAGAATTGAACAACGAGGTGAAGAAGCAGAATGGCTTTACCAGCATAGCTCTCTCCTGCGATGTACAAGTCCCTGCCCTTGTACTGTGGGAACTTGGCAAACCAGCCTTCCAAGAACCTTAAATTGTCCCTGGCTTCAAAATTTTATGGAAAAATAAAATTAAACCACTCAAAAAGGAATAATCGTGCAGGTTAATCCTACACAGAAAATAATACTGATACAAAACTTTTCAAGCATGGAGATCACACCTGTCATGCTGTCACCAACACCCCCATAGAATGAAGGATCAGTGGAGTAGGAGAAGCCCACCCCTGCAGGGCTCTCCAGATAGAGCATGTTGGCCTCTGAAACAAGCCAACAGACCAAGAAGAGAAATTCAGTTGTGGTAAAAATTCCTGTGAGCTTTCTATTTTCTTGCACCAAGGAAAAGAGGACCAACAAAAAGAGGACCAATCAAAGGCACCTAGAGGTTGCTTTTGTGGATGCAACTTTTACAAGAGACAAAATGCCCACCTTTGTTCCAGCTATACTCATTGCTCACAAGGGCATTGTCACTGGGCCTGAATGGCCCATTCTCTGAGAATGCTCCCACCCCCACAGATGAACATCCGGGTCCTACACAAAACACACATGCATAGACATCATCAGAACTCCTATCCTATCATAGAGAGACAAAG